GATGTTTTAAAATTATAGGTTTGTTATGGATTGAATGAATTATTAGGAATTACAGGTGTATTGTTTTCCTGCTTTGGCGACCAATTTATTAGTCGCGACAAATAAATAATTTTTTTTCGCAAAAAATGACAATTGCCGACCAAGAGTTTTGGTCGCAAAAAATACATCTATTGCCAACCAAAACAGCTCTTGGTCGTGGAAACTCACTTTTGCCGACCAAAAGTATTGGTCGCGAAAAGTAACAAATGGCGACCAAAACCTTTTTTGGCCGTGAAATGTCACAATTGGCGACCAAACTTTTTGGTCGTGGAATGTGACAATTGGCGACTAAGATATTTGGTCGGGAAAATATCACTTTTCGCGACCAAAGTGTTTTAGCTACAAAATGGATTAGTCGCAGTAATGACATATTTAGCGACCAAAAATTTAGTCGGCAAATCTAATTTTTTCCGACCAACCAACTTTTTGGTCGCGAATTACTTTTGCCGACCCTCAATTGGCGACCAAAGTAGCGACCAAAAAAATTGGTCGCGGATAACTTTTGCTGACCAAAAATAGACTTTTAGCGACCAATTTTTTTGTTGCCAAAAATGTTAATTCTTGTAGTGGGTACACCCCAAGAATTCCCCTAATCTCTATTTCTTTAACTAAACACCCAATAACTTTTTAACCAAACAACCCACCTCTCATCCCATCCTCTCCATCAAAATAGTTTGATTCTTATTTTTTTTTTATTGTCGAGAGAGATTAATGGAGTACTAGAATATGATAAAATTGCTAACCACTACTATATTTGTTTCAATCACAATGTCAGGGTACTGGTTGAACGAATGAACATGACGAACTTGCCAATGATATGGTTCAGATAGGAAATGAAATAACACTGATGGAAATTTTAAAGAGCCAAACATGAATTGACCTTATCTAGTTTCATTCATTTTACCGTCCTAATCATTCCGTACCAACTCTCCCAAGGAGGGTTGAGACAAGAAAGGATTGTGGGACATCATTTTTTTTGCTAGATTTAGAGTTGGCTTTGTACAATTGTCACAAAGAGATTTTATCCTTTAATTTTGCACTTCATCTTTATTTCATGATAGTTTAACCAGATTTACCACATATATCGGACAATTTTTAACTTGTTTATCAACTGTTGTGACTATTTGATTCCATTATACATTTAATTTTGACATAATTCAACACCCTATCAAACTTCATTTGGAAGCTTCTCCTAACATGAGCAAGCCAAGCCTAGAACTTGCACGTGAGAGAATGAGAAATATTTAAACACTCCATTGAAAATCTACTTATTTATAAGTATGACTAGTTAAAATAAATTTTAAAATCTATACGGAAATGATGTCCTATTTGATGGGATTTAAGACTTAGTTTGGTTTGTATGTAAATGATGCCAAATATGACTATGCAATGCTCGATTGCTTTTCTCGTATTATTCTTTTTCATGTAGCAAGATAAGAAAATTTGGGTTCCATAAATGAAATTGAAACTCCACAATAATTCATCGTGAACATCATTAATGTCTGACTTTATAATAAGTATAATTAGAATATCAATTGGAAACAAAATGGTAAAGGGGATAGTCATTTCAATTTCTTACTAAAGTCAGAGAGCTCAAGAAGGTGGATTCTGGAAATGCTGGCTGCTTCCGCTCTCTCTTTCTGAGTGTTATACCCCCAGTCCCCTGCTCCAAATAATCCCAGGTTGTAAACTAAACCAAACAGAATGCAACAATGAACTGATATATATTTATGAGAAGTCTGAGAGACAAAAAAAAAAAATCACCTAAATACAAATTCCACGCATCTAATTCAGGCTCTTTAATGACATTCTTCAGAGTGGCAAGCCGATCTTCCACAAAGCTGATCAAAATAAGAGTCAATTATTTTTCCCACAAGTTTTTCTTTGCTTTCACCATGAAAAAATTACTATTTGCTTCTGAGCTTTACTTTTCCAGAAGCCTTGTGGGCATTCTTGAAAACAGACTCGGTTTAAATCATCGCATGAGCAGAAAAGAAATCTTACTGTAGTGTCAGGCCCTGGTGTTCTGGTTTCTTCTGAAGCTGCTTCAGGACTTCTACTTTGGGACTGATGGGAATTGCCAGAAGCGAAGAAAAAACTCGTGTCACGGTGAACAAACGATAGGCAGAGAGGTATTAAAAGACCAGCCAGACTTGTAATAACACACACAAAAAAAATATATACTTAAAAATGCTCTCACCCAGTTCCCAGACCATATATTCTTTCAGGTGGTATAGTTACTCCTGCAAGCTCTCGTAGCAATGCATCAGCAAAGCGGCCCTGTGGTAAAATAGGGCAGTCGTAATGCCAAAGAAAAAATAAAAATTCAAAATTCAAAAATATCAGTAAAAGGGAAAATGGAAAAATGCATATACATTATGAAAAGACACACACGACCCAAACTAACCTTAATCCCATTTATTGGGGTCTGCTTCGGACACTTTAAAAAGCATTAATTGTTAAAAACTTCAAAAATCAAATTTGGGTTTTTCCTAACTACGTCAGTTCAAATGCAATAACTAAAAATTCCTATTAATACCAAACATATAAATGAAAAATGCATACCTGTTTTGTGGTGACAATATATATTTTTGAGCTTGCAAATTTGAGAGCATCAGGAACGCCTGGATAAAATCTGCATAGGAAGTACAGTGAAACTATAATGTTGGACTTGTGTACAAGACAGTTCAAAAATATTTTTTTGGGGGGTACAAGACATAATATCACATATTAATTATTCTAAGGGAAGGGGGTATTGGCGGGCTTCGAATCCCGATTAGTGAGGAAACAACCAAGGGCCCAAGCTATTGGGCCAAATGCTATCCTCAGATAGTTCATAGTTGGTTTACAATATGTTCATCAATTTGAAACTAACCAGTGTTGGACAGGTCACAGTTATAAGTTAAGGGTGCATTAGTCTGTCAGAATCTTTGAAGTAAGTCCTTACTTATTTTGAGCTAATATGCTCTTATATATATATAGCACGTGACAATGAACTTCTCCATTCAACACTCTTGCTTGACACAAAGACGAATATTCAAGTATGCTAATTCAAACTGTTTGTTACTTCATAGTGTTAGAATTTACCTACACCTACCACCACCTACTACCACACCTACTACACCTACCACCAATTTACCCTCACCTACTCCTCACCTACTACCCAAACCCTCTCCTATATAATGAGCCACTCTGATTTGTAATATATACAAAAATAACAATCAATATATATCAATCAATAATACAATTCTCTCTATTTCTCTATACATAATTAATTCTCTCTATTTCTCTTTATACATTAAATTTCTACAATCTGGTGGTGGGTGGTCATGGCGGTTTCAAGTGGTGGTAGCGGTACAGCAGTTGTGTTTTGACTAATGGTGTGGTTTCAGGTGGTATCTATAATGATTTTGGCTAGTGGTGATGCTATGGTAGATGAGAGAAGAAAGAGAGAAAAAGAAGACACATAAGAGAAAGGAGAATAAAAAGGTCATTGTTGTCAATTCTTCAAGTAGGGGGAGGAAAAAAAAAAAAAAAAGAAGCAAATTTCTAGCTAGCAACTTACTTCCTGTTGAATCACATCATCACATAAGTGAAGAAGAGTGCCCTTTCCACTATCCAGTTGTTTGTCATACATGGACTGAGTAATTAAGTTCTGATATGTAGCCATATTTTGCTGAAACCTACAGGCAGTTGAAACATTTGGTAAATTAATACCTATGAGATCAACAGACTTTAAAGGACGAAGAACAAAGCAATAACAAAGGAAAAATCATGATTATTATGTAAATACAGGTTGCTTGTGGCATGTACAGAGCACATGCAATCACAGCTCCAAGCCCAATGCATGAAGCAGTGGCTCCAACCAAGAAGAAATCCTACATCAGGAGTTTCCCTGATCTGACTCACTAGTCCACTATAGCAGTAAGGTGGAAAGAATATTAAATATATAGAAAACTAAATATGCATTTGACCAGATCAACTTGTTATATAAGACAATTCTCAAGCAGATCCTTCACATGGTAGATCACGCAGACAACATGCACGTTTGCTCAATGAACAACACATCCACATGAATCAAAATCAAATACTGCAAACACTTTACGTGAAGTATGTCTTAGCACAGTAACCAATCACAGTTGAAAGGATGGCAAATATGACCCAAAGATCAGCTTTAGGCATGTCGAGCGAACCCACAACTGCAACCTGTAGAAGAACATGGTATGTTTATCAAAACAAAATGGATAAAGTATGAGTAGGAAACAAGTTCAATATATATCAGATAACTAACCAGTCCAACAATAGCAGAACCAAGAAATATGACCCAATCCATTGGCGTTAAACCTGGATTTTTCTTTTCTGGCTGTTAATGAGTAGAAGTTCACGAGTTCATACATTAATAAGTGGGTACAAGGTTTTAGAAAAGTTAAAATATCACTGAAAGAGAAAGAGACAGTCAGAGCAGCCAAAAACACAGTCAGAGCAGCCAAAAACTTACGAGGACAATTTCCATATCAGCCATTGGAATGTTTTTGAAATGCTTCACAAATATTCCTCGTCCTGTTCCATTTGTACTTGCTCGCCTGCATGGTCATCATGGTTGTTAGAAATAACAAATCCATGACAATAATCAATGGATGGTTTCCCAATGTACAATTAATCCCTTCTCAAGTGCCCTAATTTCAAAAAAAAAATAAAAATAAAATAAAATAAAGGTTTGTTGAAAAATTATTATATATATATATATTGATGAATCAGTAAATATATAAATGATAATAAAAGATATATAAATGATGAGTGGAGGATAATACTGTGGGTAGTATATTATAATAATAAGAAGACAGTGGAGACAAGGTTGGCGGCTTGTTGTATCACAATGGTGCTGCCTCTCTCCAAACTTGGCTTGTTGCATCTCGAGCTCGTTGAGCTGTTGCTCGCAGTCCATCTCGATGATGAGAGGAACGATGAGAATGAGGAAGGTGGTTCCGGTGCTCTTCAGGAGGCGCTTCGTCACGTAGGACATGTCCGAAGCCACCTGTTTGCCCCTGTAGACGATCGGAGACAGTGTTGAAAGATTTGGAGCCGTGGATGCAGAACTCCAAGGTTTAGATGGAGATGGAGGCAAAGGTGGCGGCGGAGAAGGCCGGTGAGGAGTCTCCGACGGAGCTCAACACGATCAACACCTACGGCGGTTTCTCGAAGTGTTTCCAGACAAGCTCTGTGGCGGCGATGCGGCGGATCTGACCTCGGCGGATTCATCGAGGCTTTGGCCTACTCATTTGCAACTCAGTAACTCGTCATCACAGCTCGAAGCTTCATCGAAGCAGAACGAGAGAGGGATAGAGAGTCAATCGAAGATTCAGAACGACCATCGAGCGCTTCCTCAGATCGGGGTGTGGAGGAAGATGACGGTGTCGCCAGGGGCGATGGCTAAGGCGCTCTTCGTCGCTGAGTCGACGGCGGAGGAGTCATAGAAGGAGGTCTCGGTGGTGGTCTCGGTGTCGGAGGAGAGAGAAGGGAAGTCGAGGGAGGCGAGGTTGAAGTCGTCGTCGTCAAGGAGAATGTCGTCGGGGAACCGGAGGAAGGTCGCTGACTGGGCTCGGCGGTGGTGTCCGCCATCTGATCGATGTCGGTGAGGCCGGAGTGTACGGCGGCGATGGACTTTCCGGCGAACTTCGTGTCCATCTTTTGTGGTGAGCGAGTGTGTGCGCACTGCAATAATTAATCTGTGGAAGTAAGAGAGATACTAAACAGGTGGATGGAGCCCGGCCTATTCCTCCGGAGGAGATTGCAGATCCAACTACAGTGGTAAAGAGAGGTCCGGCGGGCGGCCAAGGCGAGGCTGCCACCCGCCGGTGAAGCAGAATGATTAGGTTGTTAACCTTGCTCTGATACCATGTTAAAAAATATATGTATTATTATTGATTGATGTTCTACAAGATTGTTTTATTACAATTCCTATACAATCTATATATAGAAGAAAATGTGGTAGTAGGTGTAGTGGAGGTGATAGTGGGCTAGGTGAAGTGGAGTGTGTGGTGAAGTGGAGGTAGGTGAAGTGGAGTGTGTAGTGGAGTAGGTGAAGGTAAAGATGGGAAATTCTAACAAACTATCATTATCATTTTGGTCTCTTTAGCCCAAAATAATTACTGCTAAAAGCCAAATCACAAGTTTCATTCAATTCCGATACAAAAATCTATATTAGGGAATATATTGATGCATTAGCTTCCAGCTAAATTGTTTAAATCTAGATTATTAGCCATTATATGTGGCACCAATCTTCGTCGAAACTGGGTTAAGAATATTTCTAGATAAAGCAATAAACCACCAAATCCTATGGTACTTAGAAGGGAAAGCCTTGCAGAATATCTCTTGAAGAATTGTTTGTCTCTTATGATTCATATTTAGCATGTTAAAAGGGAAAGCAATAAACTACCAAATCCTATGGTACTTTGGACTTGGTTGCAGACTCATCGGTCCAAGACTTGCTAGTTATATTATCCCTTTCATTTTATCTACAAAAATCATTCGTTTGCAAGAGTTTCGGAAATTAACATTCAAGAAAAGAAGTTTCAAACGGATTTATTAGAACTACTGTAAATTTTGATAGCATCTCAATGTCAATGCAAATAATTAAGGTAAGTTACCTATTTGCACCAATCCAAGTAGCTAAGTCGTTGTCCATCCAATCATCCCTCACCCTTCCAAAAAGTTCTATTAAAGCATCCCTATTCTCATCCCATGCTTCCAGAATAACTGGTTTTATCTTTGACCAGTTCTCCAATATTCCCTCAACTGTGAGTCCCTCTGCAGCCTTACATATCAAACCACAGCAGTCAGGTCCAGAACAATTTGAAATAAGCAAATATGAATATCCCAAATTGATCTTATTTTTTATTTACTTTCTTTTTTCTTTTTTTTTAATCTATGCTAATCAATTCAACTAACAAAATACAAGTTACCAGTGACTGAGTACACACCGACGATTTGCGAATAGAAGGAACTCTTATCTCCAACAGCAACCTTACGAGCAATAGGTTTTCATATCCAGTTTCTACCACAGGTCGCACCTGCCACAGTATGGGAAGATGATTATTCTAAAAATAACCAATATGTTGGAGTTTTTTTTTTTTCTCTGTCTCAACTTTCAGCATAAATTATCTCTAAATATAAGTCCACTGTTTTTTATCATTGATCTTTCAACTAGCCTCGTTTGGGAACAGGCTATTTTAGTAACTTTTTGACTTTTTACGAAAAGATGTGCAGAAAAGTAGAGAGGTGATATAACTAGTTTTAGTTGACTTTTTGGCTAAAATAGCCACTCCCCAAACGAGGCCTAAGAAGTAATTGAGACATCCATTAGAAACATCAAATGGTATGTAAATAAGATTTTATCAAGCTAAATCATATGTAAGAAATAACTTAACAAATTTAAGCAAATGTGATCACAAGTTGGAGATTCAACTAATGCAAATCTGTTTTTATCAGTAATTAAACATCTTTTTGTTCATGAATTAACTTTTCAAGTAGAATATCACCTTCAATCATCATTTAACAAGAAATTAAATTGAGAAAATATCATTTTGCCCCTAAACTATCGCTCAAAACTTCTATTCTTTTAATAATATCAATTATACACCTAAACTATTTAATTTTGGATCAATTTTACCTGCCGTTCCCTTCCATTTATAATTAAACATAAGTTACTAATGTGACACTGAAATTTCATTTGAAATTCATTTTATCTCCCAAACTATCTCCAAACTATCTCCAAAATATCAATTAGACCCCTAAATTTCATTTTATTTAGAGGTCTAATTGATATTTTGAGGATAGTTTGGAGGTAAAATGAAATTTCAAATGAAGCTTGGGTGCCACATCAGCAACTTAGGTTTGATGGTGGGGCTAAAATTGATACAAAATCGAATAATTTAGGTATAAAATTGATATTATTAAAAGAACATGAATTGAATTAATTTTTGAGAAATAGTTTGGGGCAAAATGGTATTTTCTCAATTTAATTTTTTACGAACTTTCCTGCATACCAAACAGGTAATGGAAAATTATTTCTTATATGTTTTCATTTCCTTTCCTTTTAACTCAGTTTCTTCAGGAATTATGTTCTTGTATGATTTATTGGAAACCAAATTTCTCCAGAATTATTTCCTCCTAAATTCGATTATACCAATTTTGATGTTCTCCAACAAACTTTCCGTCACTTTATTGGCAACCAAACACTACTTACAACGATTCACTTCGCTCCTTCCGATTCTTTTCCCCTAGTTTTCTGAATTCAAAAAACACTCAACTAGTAGCAGAAAATGTCACAAAAAAAGTTTTTAAAAAAAATGAAATTAAAAGAGCTTACAGTGTGCATTTGGTGAACAATCCAATCCTCCATTGATGAATCCACACCTTCAAATAGACTAGGCCATCTCACCTTAGCAGCCTATACGAATCATTGAATTCGAATGATAAAACATTAACAACACTTCATAAGCATCAAATCTACACACACACACATATATGTATGTATGCATAGGCGGAGAGAGAGAAATGAGAGGAACCTTGACGGCGGAGAGAGAGCTCTCTCCACAGCTATCGCAGAGAATTCCATCGAAGTCCAACGCGTACAAATCGCCCATTTCTCTCTCTTCTTTCTCTCTCTAGTGCTCTGTAGATAATTTGTCTGGTGTGGAATTGCCGACGCTGTACTTCTTATTACCCGCCAATCCGAAAAGTCCAAGTAGGCTTGGAATTGAGTCCCTTCAACGTGCGACACGTGCATTATACCGTGTTAAATTTTCTACCAAATAAATAATTAAATATTTCAGTGTCAATACCGAATAAATAATTAAATATCTCAGTGTCAACTCCACATCATGTAAACATTTAATTATTTATTTGATATTTCTGGCATTACTCTTTTTCTTCAAACTCTTTTCTTTATCCATTGCGTTTGTTTGGACGGAAGGCAAGTTTGGTACAAATAAAAAATAAAAATTAACAAAAAATAAGTTTATTTGAATATAAAATATATATATATATATTTTTTTTTTAAATATAAAAAATATTTTCGAATTAAAATCTTAACAACGTTGTCACATTATCATTGCTACTTTTAACCATCATACTATCATCAGTACAACTATTGCCACTAGGAGGGGACTAAAGTAAGATTACTTAAATTTTAAAATAATTAAGGTTATATAAATTTTGGAAATCACAAAATTAATAATAGTTTACAAAAAAACTCAAAATGATATGAAAGTAATGAGATTTTTCAAAGGTTTTGGAGGACTAAAATATTAATTTATTCTATAATTACTAAAAAATGGATAAAAATAATGAATTTTTTTAAAACTTAGGAAAAAAAAAGTAAAATTATTTAAATTTTATAGGATTGGAGTAAAATTATATATTTTTTGAACGAGTTAAAATACAAATTTCTTTTATAAATATTTAAAATTACATTGTAAAAGTGTAATTTTTCAAAAGTTTGGAGGGGCGGAAGCCCCTACCCCACTTCCTACGTCTACCACTGGCCATGTCGCTACCTCCATCTCCACCTTTGGTCCACCACTACCACCATCAAACGTAGAAAAATATTTTTTTTTTTTTTGGAAAAAACATTCGTAAAAAATATTTTTTATTAGAAAATACTTTTCATCCAAACAAATAGAACATGAAGTAAGAAAAATTAGGTATCTCCACAAAATTTTCTCACCAAAGAATTTCATTTGATGTGGCAACCTACTCACTCTATAGGAAGCGGATTCTTACTCATAATAAATTGTTAACGAGATGTTTTTGTGGGAGAAATTTGTGAGAATATAATACTGTTCAAAAGTTAAAACTTATGCATGCTTGGGAATCAAATATTTTAGTTAAAAAGTTAAAAAAGAAATACTACAAATTATTATTTTTTATTATTTAAATATTTTTTTAAATTAAAAAAATTAATTCTCAAATGACTCCAAAATTTAATAAATTATCCATAAAAGATGCTTTAAAAAACCCATTTTTCATTTAAAAAAACAGTGGTGATAGAGGCCTCGAATTCGAGATATGAAATTAATGAATATAATACAAAGATGATAGAGAAGTACTACAGATTTGTCAATATCTTTATATTATTATTAGTTGATTTGCTATATTAGACTATCAATTTAGAGCCCATATGATTTAATTTAATGTCCATGACTTTATTTGTATTCGGTGATTTTTTCGTAGAGTAACCTATATAATTTTTTTTTTTTTGGTAACCTATTTCTTCAAGTACAATTCAAATAATTTTTCATCATTTTTTTTTCTAAATAAAATGGATTACAACTATTTTCTTATATAATTTTTATAATCCTATGAAATTCTTATCTTGATTAATTTTTTTAAAATGATGTAGGAACTATGCAAGTATTATTCATGTAAAACCCAAGTCATTTATAGAATTATTTTTGGATAGATTAATAATTAAAATAAATTGTATGGGTAATTTAGTAATCTTAAGAATTAGGTTTAAAACCCTTAAAAAAAAAAAAAAAAACAAAAAAAAAAAAAAAAATAAAAAAAAACAAAAAAAAAAAAAAAAAGAATTCGAGGCCTCAGGCATTTTCCTTAAAAAAATTGTCAACAAATTTAGACGTGGCAAGATGTTTGACGATTGACATTCTATTTGTTTTTGAAAAATGCTAAAAATAATTTTTAAGATTTTTTTTTTGTGTGGTGATAATCAAGTATTTAAATCAATTTGCACGCAACTCAGCAAGGTCTGGTTTGGCATACTCCAAATAATTCAAAAAGTCAAAAAGTTATCACTATTTACTAAAAAAAATTAATTAATTTTACACAAAAATTATTACACCTCAGTCTGATATCCCACAGACTTTTGCTGAGTTTTTTGGAAAAATTGCACAGGTAGGGTGCACAAACAACACGGTGCTGTTCGGCCCATGGGGGTTCATCACGAATCCCGTTTTGATAATCTGAACCGTCAATGTGTAGAACTCGTCGAGTATTATATGTCTGTAAAAAATCTCATTGATCGAATATCGCTAACTCTATGATCAAATCAGTTTTGTATAAAAAAATAGATGGTGTTATAGTTAACGATTAAAAAAAAAACTAATCCGATCAAATAGCTATCGATATCCAATCAACGTGATTTTTTACAAGCATGTAGTACTCGACGACCCTACGGGCCGAACAGCACCGTCCAATGTAATGCCCGAAAAGTAGGCAACCATTTTTGGTATCAAATCACTCTGCCCAAACGGTACGACCGTACTGCCTACTCTCCCTAATTTCTCCTACACACTAATTTATACAATTTTTTAATACACATTTTTTCGTAAAAAATAAAAAAGTTAACCCAAACATCTATCTTTTTTTCTTCAATTTTTTAATCTAAAAAGATAAAAAATACACTTATTTAGAATATCTCAAACAACCTCTAATTTCAAGACTCTAATGTTATTAGGCAGACAAACTTCCAATGATCTTTTGGTGACTTCAATTTGAAATTTTAAATTTTATCCTCAGGTGTTAAGATTACTATTAGTGTTAAAAATTGTGTAAAAATTATAAAAATATGTGAGAGGGTAATTTATATGAAAATTGGGCGGAGTTGGGTAATAGGTCGTGATGGGCCAAAGTATGAAGGGCTGAGTAAAAAGGCCATAAAGCTACTCCGGTTCAAAGGAGGCTTAAAGTTAGTCCGGTCCAAAGGAGGCTTGAAGTTACTCTGGTCCTAGAGAGTTTACGGTAAACTCGGTTGTCACACACAAAGTTATCCCGGTCGGGACCACGTTATTGGTTATCCTGGTTGAAATGTACCATGGTTAAGCACTGGGAGAAACCGGGGTAAGAGCAGTGAAGGGAAGAGCCGAGCTAAAGTTAGCTCGGTCTAGTCTACAGCTTAGCATGACCATGCTTACCTCGGTCATATTGGAGTCCAACCATGGTAAAACCATCTCACTTGGTTTAAGTAGTGAGGAGGGTGCTAAAGGATAAGTATTATCTTTTAGGAGTATGACTCTTAGGAGGACTCTGCATGGAGGAGTAAAAGTCCTACTAGGATTATGCTATGTGGAACTTATAAAAGCTCACAACATCACCTATGGAGAGATAACACAACTTTGATTCTCGAATACACAGAGCTTTGTCAATTTGTCTATTTTTGCTAACTTAGGCATCAGAGACGTATCCGGCACACACCCGCCGGCTAGCTCACGTTTGTGTTTTCAGGGAATAAAGCGACGACGTATAGAGGAGCGCAGACTTGATCAACAGGCTTATACGAGAAGGTTTATTTCTTTCCCGTACAATTGGCACCGTCTGTGGGAATACCAGACAAAGAACAAAACCTCTTGATCAAGTTTCCTTCGCTAATTGAATGACGCATAACGAAGATTTGCCGCAGTCCGCCATCGATGGACAAACCCCAGAGGGGGGTAGGAGGCGCGAAGGATTGCCCTCTATCCCTCCCATGCCGGACTTAGAGCCCCAATGACAGAATCCCCGGAGGGATACAAGGGGGAGACGGAACAACAGCCCCCGTCGCTCTCGCTCACAAAGTCCTGAAAGACAAAGGTGAAGAATCGACCCTCAAGCTCTGGAGGATCGTGTAAAAGAGCAAGATGAATTGATAAGGAAGATGGCGGCGAACATGGAGGCCATGAATCGCCAGATTAAGGGAAAAAGGGTAGCGACAGGAGAAGGGTGCAAAGACAATACGCCTCCTCACCACTCAAAAGATCGTGGTAAGTATACCACGCCATCGCAAGCAGAAAGTAGAAGCCTCAGGACAGGCGACACTCAATCAAGGACCTCCAGAACTCGTTACTCCAGATCTGAGAGAACGAGATCATTGAGATCTTACACTGAGGGAAGTACCTATCGGCCCTCACATACGCACCAGACATTATCCAGGCAAACGGAGTTGCTTAAATCATCCGACTTACGGACTGTGCTTGAAGAAAGGGAGCGACAAAAGGAGGATGCCAGGGCACGCGGTCCGCACAGAATTTCAGCCCTTCAGCGGTTGGCTCCTCGGACGCATGGAAGCGTCGAGGTTGGAATACCAATACCACACCTTGCCTACGAACCAACAGATAAAGCGTTGGCAAGACTACATAGCTCGCCGTTCGTTCCGGCGATTGAGAACGCACCATTACCCTCAGGCTTCATCCAGTCTAAATTTACCACGTACGAAGGGAAGACAGACCCTTACATGCACCTAAGCCACTTTCGCCAGGTTATGGCAGTATACCGGCGGAACGAAGCTTTGATGTGCATCCTATTCCCATCTAGCCTTGGCGACCTAGGTTTAACTTGGTTCGAAAAGCTACCAAAAGGCAGCATAGCCTCCTGGGCGCAATTAGCGGAGGCGTTTGTGACGAGATTCAGAACGAACACCAAGACGCCAGTGGAGATTGATCAGCTACTCTCCATCGACATGGGCGACAAAGAAACATTAAGGTCCTACAACAGTCGCTACTGGGAGACGTTCAACCAGATAGGGGCCTGCCCCACCAATCTCTCCATCGCACAGTACAAAAGAGGACTTCCAATCGAAAACAGATTGAGGGATTCGATTACAATGACTCCACTCCTCACGATGGAAGCCTTAATGGAAAGAGTGCACTAACATATTCGGGTGGAGAAGGATGGCGCCCGTGCCAAGGCAAAATCTGGTGCGACAGCAACACCAGAAAAGAAGACTACGACAA